AAGGTTTGTCTTCCAAGGTACTTCAGTCATTTGTTTTCCTCTTCTCTCACAGATGCCAAGGCACAGTGTGCTGGTCTGCCCTGGGGAGAGGAAACTTTGGAGGTTAACCTGGTGGAATCTCCTCGACAGCGAAGAAGGTGCGTTCAGGGCAGCCACACTCACCTCCCTGATGGCTGTCTGAGGTGCACGCAAAACTCCAAATGAGAAGGCTCCTTTTTTAAATTATACCTCCAATTTAAATCATAAATGAGGAGTAAGGGGAGAGCTTTCAGGAGGAGCTGAGTATGCACGGTACCACAAAGGGAAAGAAAGCATTTAAGGTAAAAGAGGAAATACATCTGTGGGGTGTGGAAGATGTATGTTGAAATAAATAACAGAAAAAGGAAAAGAGAAAAAGCAACTAAAAACCAGATCAGCCTTTTATGAAAAATCATGAACTCTGAAGGTTTGACTGGTATTATTCTGTGTCTTTGAAGTCAAGTTCTACGGTAAGAAAATTGATGATGAGAACTTTGGAACAGGAATAAAACCTTTAAAATATGGTCTACTGCTCACCCAAGTTAATAAACTACCAGATCCTCATGCAAGGCTTTCGTCCTATGGTATCCTACTCACATTGCATAATTTCATATTTGAATATGAAATAAAATAGGAAATAAATCCTTTTAAACCATCACACTGATACACTGGTAATTCATGGAAACCCAGCAACCTGTAAAATGCCAACTCCACCTATTAAAAAACCACATTAACAGAAATCTGTAATTATATGATGCACTTTGCCACTATTACTTCCTCATGTTCTGTGTGCTCTTGCTGTCGGTGATAGCACCTAATCAAAAGGAGAAGATGGGCTACAAGACAATCCTCTGAGCATCCTTAAGAGAGGCTAAACACTGTACCAGCTCCTAACGGAAACTCTTTTGCTCAGATGATTGTAAAACTATCTGCTAAGACAAAAAACCTGCTGGGTTTCTTGTTAAAGAAAAGTGGATTTTTTTAAGTATACAACCCCATCTTGGAGCAAACCCCAACCCTCTGTGCTGCCTGTACTGTTGCTGCTCCAGTCATGGAGCTCTCAGGAAGGGCACCGATTGAGAGAAACTCCACTAGCCCATGGCTGATGTGTGTCCTTAGCCCACACTGGGGATGCCAAGAGCTGGATTACTTGGCAGCTGGCACCCAGGGAGCTATAAATCAGGATGAGCATTTAGATCCACTCTGAGCAGGCTGTGCAGGGCTCAGAGTTTGACTGAACTTGTCAAACTGTGCAATTGCAAGCGCATCCCTTGCTGTCCACGTCGGACACTATCACCCACCTAAACACCAAACAAAGCAAGAGCTACAAACAGGTACCAGCTGACAGCTCTTTCAAAGCACAGGTACCAGCAGCTGCTTGTTATACCACGACACCTGGAAAGGCACCTCAGTAACAGGCCAGCTCAGGCACTGCTGCTGGTGTAGCTCCATCGTACAGCCCGATCCCAGCTGCCCCCACGCAACCCCCCTTAGCTCATCCCCCAGTGCAGAAGTAGAAGACAAGCAGCAGTGAAGGATTTTCAAACCAAAACCCCTTTTCACAGCAGCAGATGAAGAAGGGCACGCAAAGCCCAGGCTGTTCCACAGCCAGGTGCCACCACTCAGCTTTGTCAGGTTGCACATCTGGGTCAACAGCCATATCCTGCTGGCAAGGTCGTATCAACAGCATCATGCTCAAGATAAAACAGATTCGGATCCTTTAATTATTAGGGTTTTTTTCAAGCACTGCAAAAGGTAATAAAACAGCTTCCTCCTCCCCATCATCACTTTCATGCAGCTCAAGAAGTTCTGGGCAGTCCCAAGTTCTGGTCTACCTCAAAATTTCACCTCTTCCACAGGGGGTTTAAATGGAGTAAAATAAGAAAGAGTCTCCTGAAATACAGCATAAATGTGAGCATAGCAGAAACTGTAATAAAACTGTTTATATGAGATTCTGCCACAGAAAATACTGTCCCACAGCCTCCCCACACTGACTGCTCACCCCTTTTTCCCAGGTGTTTGTCCCAGGGGAAAAAAAAAAAAAAGGCATCATTAAGCCATTTAAAGAACTGAAGAGAACGAAGGGGATGCAGCAGATTGCAAAAAAGCCCAGGACATTAAAGTAATTAAACTCTAGTAGAGCAAAAGCAGTGCAGTGCCAGGCAGATGAATGCAGTGCCCACCACAGCACTCAGCTCATCACAAGGTGCATGTGGAATTTTGTCAGTGCAGACAAAGGAAGCAAGGAAACAGGGAGGGAGAGAAAGAGGGAGAGGCTGGGATCACAGGTTTGGGTTGGAAGGGATCTTTAAAGATCATCTATTTGAATTCCCCTGCCATGGGCAGGGGCATCACAGGAGCGTGAGTAGAGGAAGGGACTCAGGTGTAACCTGAACTTCATCTGTTGTTACTGCATATACTGTGATAAAAACAAGAGATGTTTCCATAGCTAGAAAGCATTAAATGCTTAAGTAAATATGAATGTACCAAAAATCATACACATTCATATTCATGAGATGCACGTGTTCATGAAACTTGAAAGAGTATTTGTAGATCTAATACAGCATTAACATCTTTAAAGAAGCAGTAGAATGAAAGGAACCCAGTGCAGTCCCTCTTCACCGTTCATGTTTATTCATGAGCTCCCAGGTCACCACTGCAACAGGTAATTAGTGGATATGGATAGCTGGCAGAAGCAAACCAGTGTGTTATCATAACCTACTTCTGGCAACTAAACGGTAAAAAAAAAAAAAAAAAGGCAATTTTCCCCTCTTTGCAGAAGTACAGACAGATCAGCAACACTAGTGATTTAGGAAAGACTGTCCCTTCAAGACAAACCTGGGTGTTTTAAGTTGTTCTATAAAATGCCGATCTCAACTAATGAGCACAAGCAAACAGTGCTCACACAAAACACACCTGAAATGCAAATCACGCTGCTGCCTCACAGCCCTGCTCAGGCTGCTTTGAACATACAGAGATGGGTCAAAGCAGAGCCAGCAAGGGTTCCCTGGGTGGAAGCGGGGGCAGAATTCCCACTGTGCAGGGCCACCCCCCGTCATCAGAGCCCCCTGCCCAGACCCAGCCTGCTGACTGCAACCCTTTACAGGGTCACCTGGCCTGGAACTCTAGGTGGGAATGCTTCCCAGAGGACTCTCTGGTCAGCAGTGGATGGGATTCTGGAGCATGAGCTGGCAGGATAGTGTTAGTGTGGGACACCTGGACCAGCCATCCCAACTACTCAGCCTCCCTACACTACCTTGTGGCAGCTCACACCCTTACCCTGACCTCGAGATGGGGCAACACTGGACTAGAAGTGTAGTGTTTAATTAAAATATGTATCACCAACTGAAATTTTAAACTGGAAATGGAAAACATGGGTTAAAGGAACAACCCAGCTCAGGTGCAGTCTATCAAAGCAGGAGTCCTTGTTCATGAGTGAAATCACTCCAGGTCACAGCAGAGAAACATATTCCTCAACAGCACAGAAAGGGCCCAGCAAGGATAAGCAGTCACTTGAAGCCCCAACACAGAACTCAAGAGCCAAGTCCCCAAGCCCAGCTAATGTCACCTTTTCCTGTGCCTGAACTGCACCAATAAACTTCAGAAGCCAGGCCAGGCAACCTCCAGTCCCAACTCCAACAGCCACACATCAGGAGCATAATCACAGACCTCCAGATCAGCCTTCCAATTCCCCACCCTGCAGTGGGATTGATCCAAATGAACCTGGTTTTGTTGCTGGGGAAAACTAATTTTTTCCACGGCAAGGCAAGGGCTGGCTGGAGCTGAGAAGTGTTCCTTCCAGAACAGCGAACAGTGCACAGCTCACACACTCGAGGAACGCAGGGAGCCTCGAATACCAACCAGGAATAACCAGGAAATGGCTCGGTCTGACAGCCCGGGATCCCTGCAGCGACAGTACTTGGAGGTGCCGGCTCTGTCACGGCACCAGAGCGCTTTGAACAGCAGCATTCTTCCCGACGGCGGGGACGGTGACACGGAGCAGGACACAGGGCAGGAAAAACCCCGCTGAACTCACACGGCGTCACTTACACACAAACACTGCACACGTCCAAAGCCACAACCACGACAATTACCACGGAATGAATATTTTCACAGCGTTCACTTAATGCGAGGGGACACATTTAACTGTACCACTGTAGTGATAACTGTAAAAGTTTACTGAACTTGGAGAAAAGCTGATCTGCATCCTTCGACCACAGTGCTTCAATCAAAGTGCAAACTCCAGGGCAGCCCTCAGAGCAACGTAAAAGCAAAGCAGACTTTGAAGAACACGCTGGTTACTGCACCTCAACACCCTGTGCGCCGAGCTGGCTCGGAGCAAAGCCTGTCCCAACGCACGGCAACAGCAACACACAGCACAAGTCGGGACCTAATTCTCCGCCAGATGTGCGCGACTCTGCAACCAGCAAACCCCTGGAAACGCTCCCCTCGCGCTGTGGGACATGTCAGCATCGCTCAGGCCCAGGGGGCTTCGCCACTGCCTTCAGCGGAGCCCGACTGCTCCCGGGTAGCAGCCCCGGGGGTTCGGGAGCGCGGAGATATCCCTCAACATCTGCCTCCGTTCACAAGCGAGCGTTCCTCCCTGCGCTCAACTGTGCTCCCGCCTCACTTGCAGCGGGGAGAAACGCTCCGGAGGTTTTGCCCGAGAACACTACGCGGAACAGAAATTACGCTGCATGTCGGTGTCACACCGCCGCCGGTAGCCGGGGAGGAGCGCCCGGAGGCGGGCAGGGCGCGGCGGAGCCCCCGGACCTCACGGGCAGTGTCACCCCGCGGCTCCCCCGGCGACGGGCACAGGGCACGGGCGCTCCCGTGGCTGTGCTGCCGCCCCGCACCCCCCGCCCCGGGCTCCGGCACAGCCTCCCACCCGCGGGCAGCGCCGGGCACGGCTGCCGGGACCCCGAGCGCGGGGCCGGGCGGCCCGCGGAGCCCCCGCTCCCCCCGGCCCCCGCGGTACTCACGTCGTCAAAGAGGGAGCCGACGTTGGCGGTGACCAGGAGCACCCCTGCGCCGGCCGCCGCCGCCTTCCCCGCCATGGCGCGGGCGGAAGCGCGGCCGGGAGCGGCGGCGCTGCGGGGAGCCCGGGGCGGGCGCGGGCGCTGCGGCGAGCGGGGCGCCGGGCCCGCCCCGTCAGCGCGGCGAGAGCTCCCGGCGCGGGCAGCCCGCGGACATCCGCGCCCCGCGGGGCCGCGGCTCAGCGCTCGCCCGCCGCCGCTGCCGCCGCCGCCGCGCTGCTGCTGCTGCTGCCGGGACGGCTCCCGCCGGCGGAGGCTAGCGCCGGGCCGCGGCGCATGGCAGGGCGGCGGTGCCGGCGGTGCGGTGCGGGCCGTGCGGGCTCGGCGGTGCCGGTGCCGGTGCCGGGCGGGTCCAGGCGCTCCGCGGGGCCGCCGCCGCTCCGGCTGTGCGGGCGGGCGGGCGCGCCGGGATAGCGCTCTGCGCGCGCGACGTCACGGCCGCCCCGCGCCGCTCTTAAAAGGGCAACGCCACCCGCGGGGGAGGGTGGGGGACACACACACACACACACATCCACACATACAGCCGGCGGCGCTGTCCCGCGGCCCGGCCGTCCCCGCGGGGCGGGACACGACACGGGGGGATACGGCTCGGCACTGCGGCCGGTCCACGAGCGCCGGGCGGGGCCGTCGGTCCCCCAGCTGCGCGGAGCACCCGGTGCTGCCCGGCCGGGCAGGGCAGGGCCGGGGCGGGGACTGCCATTCGCGGGGGTCTCGCACCCAGGTCCGCAACCCCGCCTCCGCGCAGTCGGCCCGTCATCAGGGTCGCCCCTGGCGGTGCCACCCGCCGGCGGGGCTCAGGGCGGGCTGGGATGCGGGGTCCGTGCGGGGCCGTGCCCCGAGGCCTCCCGCAGCGCACGGCAGCCCCCGCTGCGGGGGGAACCTGCGCGGTGTCTTTGCTAAAGAAACCCCAGAAACAACAGATCAGCCCCTGCTGCTTTGTGCGAGACAGCCCCTGGCACGGTCCGTGTCTCACAGCTGATCAGAGCAGGGCTGCAAGCCGCAGAGCCCCCCTGCCCGGGCTGCCTCTCCGGGGATCAGAGCTGGGCAACCTGTTGGGCACGGGGCGTGACTGATGGGTCGGTCCTTTAGAGTCTCCTCTTTGGCAAACTTTCTCAGGCAGGGATGCAACTCGAATGGCAAATCTCTGCTGGCCTCCCTTGTCAGAAGGTACAAATTAAATATACCATTAAATGTAAAACAAGTTGAAATTGTGGAGTCCTGTCCTCATTCATGGGATACTCGCTGGCCTCCAGCATGGCACCTAATTTGATGCAGTGCGGAGAAACAGAACACTGCTGGACTCCTCTGGACTATTTCTTCTAAGGTTTTGTGCAGCTCCCGAGATAATTGTTGCATAAAGTTGCACTGTAGACGCTGTGATCTTACCTGGATGCAGCCACAAGCTGTCAAAGGTGAGCTGATCCCAGCACACCATCCTGGTATACCTTGGCATGTTCACACGGGGAAAAAAGAAAAGAAAAGGGGAGGAACATTCTCTGCTGGGTTTTGGCACAGTCTTACAGCTTTGGCCAGCAGCAATTACATCAAAGCCAGGTATGCTGGAGGAGCTGTGTCAGATTACACCCAGCTGGAAAGGGATCCCAAGCCATATAGCATCCAGGTGAGAAGTTTGGCAGTGCTCAAGAACAGGAAACTAGATAGGAAGTGGCTGCAGACCACAGAAGTTCCCTGTAAAGAGCCTGGGCAGGAATTGCCTCTGTGATGTGGAGGACTTTGCCAATTGCTTTGGTGGAGAGAGAGTTTACAGTGCAAGAAGACATCTCAGGCTGTGCATTGTTAGACCAGTGTCTGAGTAGTGCCTGGGCTGATGGCTGTGAATCCCATATCTTCTGGAGGGAAAGGAGTCAGTAAAACCTTAGAACACAGGAACATAAAGCACTGCAGCATCTATAAAGCATTTTCAAAAAAGAATTCCCAAGAGCCGGCTCGCCCAGTGAGGGATTATAATGGGAAGCTGTTTCCAAAAGCAAGAACGCTGCACACTGCAGGAGGCGAAGTGCATGTGGTACCTGAGAGCAGTGGCTGTGTGAGGGGCAGCACTAGGCCGGCCAGAACATCCCAGGCCAGCAGAGCTGAAGGGGATGGGGCCCAGCCCAGTCTGGGTGCACAGCCCGTGCCAGAATTTGTTCATCCCGAGATCAACTGGGAACATCCAATCGCAAATAGATGTTCCCAGCCTAAAAAAGCGAAGGAATGACTGAAGCCATACTCTGCAGGCCAGCTGCAGGAGCCCAGTGCCAAGCATGATGGAAGATGCAGGAAGGCATAGGGGGACCACGAGCTGGTTTGCAAAGGCAGGGTGCAATGCTGATACTTTGGTGCTTGGTAAATTCAGGGCCGGGGCGGGGACTGCCATTCGCGGGGGTCTCGCACCCCCGGGTCCGCGGCCCCTCCGCGCAGTCGGCCGTGTCCTCAGGGTCGCCCCCGGCGGTGCCACCCGCCGGCGGGGCTCAGGGCGGGCTGGGATGCGGGGTCCGTGCGGGGCCCGGCGTGCCCCGGAGCCGCCCGCAGCGCACGGCAGCCCCCGCTGCGGGGGGAACCTGCGCGGTGTCTTTGCTAAAGAAACCCCAGAAACAACAGATCAGCCCCTGCTGCTTTGTGCGAGACAGCCCCTGGCACGGTCCGTGTCTCACGGCTGATCGGAGCAGGGGCACAAGCCGCAGAACCCCCCTGCCCGGGCTGCCTCTCCGGGGATCAGAGCTGGGCAACCTGTTGGGCACGGGGCGTGACTGATGGGTCGGTCCTTTAGAGTCTCCTCTTTGGCAAACTTTCTCAGGCAGGGATGCAACTCGAATGGCAAATCTCTGCTGGCCTCCCTTGTCAGAAGGTACAAATTAAATATACCATTAAATGTAAAACAAGTTGAAATTGTGGAGTCCTGTCCTCATTCATGGGATACTTGCTGGCCTCCAGCACGTGGCACACAATTTGATGCAGTGCGGAGAAACAGAACACTGCTGGACTCCTCTGGACTATTTCTTCTAAGGTTTTGTGCAGCTCCCGAGATAATTGTTGCATAAAGTTGCACTGTAGACGCTGTGATCTTACCTGGATGCAGCCACAAGCTGTCAAAGGTGAGCTGATCCAGCACACCATCCTGGTATACCTTGGCATGTTCACACACGGGGAAAAAGAAAAGAAAAGGGGGGAGGAACATTCTCTGCTGGGTTTTTGGCACAGTCTTACAGCTTTTGGCCAGCAGCAATTACATCAAAGCCAGGGTATGCTGGAGGAAGCTGTGTCAGATTACACCCAGCTGGAAAGGGATCCCAAGCCATATGGCATCCAGGTGAGAAGTTTGGCAGTGCTCAAGAACAGGAAACTAGAATGGGAAGTGGCTGCAGACCACAAGAAGTTCCCTGTAAAGAGCCTGGGCAGGAATTGCCTCTGTGATGTGGAGGGACTTTGCCAATTGCTTTGGTGGAGGAAGTTTTACAGTGCAAGAGCATCACAGCTGTGCATTGTTAGACCAGTGTCTGAGTAGTGCCTGGGCTGATGGCTGTGAATCCCATATCTTCTGGAGGGAAAGGAGTCAGTAAAACCTTAGAAAACAGGAACATAAAGTACTGCAGCATCTATAAAGCATTTTCAAAAGAATTCCCAAGAGCCGGCTCGCCCAGTGAGGGATTATAATGGAAGCTGTTTCCAAAAGCAAGAACGCTGCATGCAGAGCGAAGTGCGGTGGTACCTGAGAGCAGTGGCTGTGTGTGGGGCAGCACAGGCCGGCCAGAACATCCCACAGCAGAGCGAAGGGGATGGGCCCAGCCCAGTCTGGGTGCACAGCCCGGCCAGAATTTGTTCATCCCATCAACTGGGAACATCCAATCTGAAATAGATGTTCCCAGTTTAAAAAAGGAAGGAATGACTGAAGCCATACTCTGGGCTGCTGCAGGAGCCCAGTACAAACATGATGGAAGATGCAGGGAAGGCATAGAGGGGACACGAGCTGGTTTGCAAAGGCAGGGGTGCAATGCTGATACTTTGGTGCTTGGTAAATTCAGGTGAACGAGATCTGTAGCTGTGCTATGTGGAAAAAAAAGAAAAGGGGCAAATCTGTGTCCAAGTATAAAAGTTTGCCAGTGGCAATGGGGAAAGAGCAATGGGTAAACGCACAGTGAGGGCTGAGTTACACATCCTGACGTGAATGTTAAACTGCAGTGTGGGCTGTAGAGCTGGAGCTTTCCTCCACATATTGCAAAGGATAACTTGCAAGTGGGGATGTTACATGTAATGGTGGGGAAATAGGAATAAGTATGAAAGTGCCACTTTGCATCCATCCAGTGAGCTGGAGCTTCACCAGCTCCAGCACTGACCAGCTCTGACCCTGAGCTGAGGCCCACGGGCTGAAGGGGCAGATGCAGGTCAGATATTTCTCTTTCTCCCTGCACAGAGCTGGAAGGCTGGTGGAATCTGATTGGTGTGTAACTGCAGGGAAAGTACTGCTCCTGGCTAAGGTTGCCTCATGTTTCCTATCACAGCTCCTGGTTTTCCAGCACTTGAAACCCAGACAGTGTAGTCTGACTATTTCCAGTCTTGGTGCCTGCCTTGAATGTTAAGATTGAGCAAGAAGGCTCAAGAATCAAGTTAGTTTTCACTAAGTAGCTTTGTGACTGAGGAAAAATGGTCTGGAGGCTGAATTTTTCAAGTCAGCCTGAGGGTCAGGTAAGTGCCCGACATCACCGTCCCCATGGATTTTCATTGGGCAGCTTGGAAAGCAATGTCACTGCTTGCACAGGTGCCATGGAGAGTTGTCTTGTAGGTTTGGGCTACTGGGTTTTTGACCCAAGTTCCAGTATTTTCACAGCTTTTTCTGCTGGAATAAAGCAGGGGTGCAGCGGTGCTGGGCCAGCGCTCGGAGCTTACGCTTTAGTTAGAAAGACCTTTATGAGGGGCTTTCTGTACTGGCAGGAAAAAACAACAAAAACCCCCAAACTGTATCAGAATAAACCCCTCAAATACAATGTTGTGTTTTACTCAAGTGCAATGTGTGCTCTTGTCTGACCTCGAGGGATGAAGTCCACTCTCTCAGAGAGGGATCTTAGTGGGTTTTGTGAGACATCCCAGAA